AAGAAGGATCTATGTCTTTCACATAAAGACAACATACTATGAACTATAAACTACAAAATTTTCTAACAAAACCTGAATTCATTAGTAAGAATACACACCTTGTTGATTGTTGAAGCAAAGAACCAAGAATCCCTTTTGTTGATCTTTTGGAAGCAAGCACCACAAGCGTCATGCCTCTAGTTGTTCACACCTAACACAAGCAAGAAGGATATTAAGGAGAGAGGAGGGAGGAGATCAGAAATTCGGCCAACCCTTGGGGAATGATGAGTGTTGAAAATGCTAGGGGTTGGCCTCCTTATATAATGAAACAAGGAAACCATAGATAAACCTGAAACCAATATAATAATACTATCTTGAATTGGATAATTATCTAGCTTCCTAATTATCCACTAAGGATATTTCTAGAAACCCTAAAACCACCTCAAAAGCATCCTAGGCTCCAAGGAGGTTCTAGAATGCCTCTTGTTCAACTATTGAATAATTACACTTTAGTCCCTATACTTTTAATTAATTCTTTTAATCACAAAATTATTTCCAATTATATTATGATTAAATATTAATTAAATATTACTATTTCTAATTAATACATTATTTTCATAATATATTAACAAATTATTTATTTCAATTTATTAATCAAATAATAAGTCAACCTCACTCTCTAAAACATCATGTCCAATTGCTAGGTTCGAGGGTAACCCAAAAGGACTGTACTACTATCAATTCAAGTTTATACTAATTATAGTTATGGACTTAGACACCTAGTCTAATACGAAGGTGTGATACGCTTCAGGAAGCGGGGTAAGCTGGGACCTCGATTCATTAAACCATTTTGTCTGATTTTTAGGGGTGGGCAAGGTGACTTACCGGCCGGATCTACCGGAGGAGCTTAATCAGATCATAACACTTTCCATATTTCTCAATTATGGAAGTGCTTGGTTGATAATACGACGGTGGTACAACTAGATGACATTCAGATCGATAAGCACCTGAACTACATTGAGAGACCGATCATGATTGTTGATCGGAAGATGAAGGCCTTGCACAACAAGGTAATACCACTGGTCATGGTTCAGTGGCAACATCAGAAGAGTTCTGATTGAACTTGTGAACCAGAGTCAGATATGAGGGAGTATTATCTAGAGTTGTTTAGCGAACTTCGAGGATGAAGTCTAATCCAAGTGCAGGAGAATTGTTACACTTAAGTCCTAGTAAGTTTCCTTTTCAATCCTTTATTTGTAATCTTTGCAGCTTTGGCGCTTACACAGGGCGTACCTAGATGGTACGTTGTGTGTAAGGGGCATTAAGCAAAACGGAGGCATTTTGGAGTGTATGTTGGGCATAAGCTGAGTACGCGGGGCGTACTCTGTTTGGGCATAAACCCGAATCTTTAGGGTTTGGACCACATATACTGAACCTTAAGTCCCATTCCCTTATCATATTTTCAACCTACATCACTAGAAACGTTTCCCCTTGCAAACATTACCCCTATTGTTTCATTTGGAAACTTAATAGTGTGTTTTTTGTGTATTTCAAACGAAGAAGAAGGCGGTGGTGAAGCTTAGAAGCTAGAAGCAAGCTTAGATCTGGAAGTCTTGTATCCATCTCCAGGAGGTATAAAGTTCATAACTTGGTGATTAACTTGATAGATCTTGTTCATATGTTGATATTATGAGCTTTCGTCCCCAAACTATGACTTTCGTGTGTATGGCATGCTATAGAACATATGGATTGTCCTTTTGGATGTGTTACCATTTCTAGATTCATAAAATTGTGATTTTGGCCTCTTGGTTTCCCTCGTTCAAATTATTAAGAGCTTTAGTGGTTAAGAATAGTTAGGGCCTTGTTGTTGGGTTTTAGTTAGACATGTAGAACCATAAATTTGGAAACTTTATGGTTTGGAGTGTCATTGGGACTAGATCTAAGACTTAGACAAAGTGGCTTAAGGGAATAAGCCCTTAAAGGTTTGATCATTAAGACAATGCATACGGTAGGCATACCTAAATGTACGTTGTATGAGGCCCATCCTGGATGGTGAGTACGTTGGGCGTACATGCTGAGTACGCTGAGTATACTCAGCCTGAGTTGACTTTTTGACTGTTGAATTTTGACCAAGTTTAACTTTCATGTTTATTGAGTAGTTTGGAGTACCAGTATGTAAGTGGGCCTCGATTAATTGTTTAGGAGAGTGGTAGAGCTGGTGTATGTAGTAGAGATCAGTGCAGTTATCCTTTTCATTATGAGGTGATTTCTCTTATTATGCCAATGGGTCTAAGGCACAAAGGCCAACCCATTTACTTATTTTATGTATCCTTGGATATAGGATTGCTATGATAGTTCTATGTGTGATTTATCTATGTATATGTCGACATATGGATGGTTAGGTTGAGGCCACATGCCAAGGAACCTGGTGTGGTTAGATTGAGACTGGAGGTCAACAAAACTAGTATGGAAAGGTTGAGGCCACGTGCCAACAAACCATGATTGTTGGGTTGAGGCCACGTGCCAACAAACCCTGGATGGTTGGATTGAGGTTTTATTGCTAACCAAGAAACTTGGTATGATTGGGTTGAGGTCAAGGACCAACACACTTTGTATGCATGTTATATTGTATTTGTATGATTTTATGGTTTGAAGTATTTTGGGAAGCTTACTAAGCTTTGGCTTACAATTTGGATTTCAATGTTTCAGGTACTTTTAATGAGCGGGGAAAAGCGAAGACGTGACCGTACACATGATCCCACAGCTTATGTTGATTGATACCATGATTCGATACTTTGACTTATTATGATTTGTAAACGATGATTTGGTAACTTATGGATTTGTGGAACTATGTTTTTTTTTAAATGATGAAAGTTTTACTCTAAGTTTTTCGGACTTTACAAGAATGAATCATTCCCTAGTGAATGGTTATTGTTTCTTCAGAATCTAAAAAATAAGGATAGTTCTCCAGTTGGGGTTGTCACGGATCTGTTTTCTTGTCATCAGATTCGATCTCATCCTTATCAAATTTAGAGAAACAATGCAATTTTTCCATCGGGATTTAATATGGAAGTATCTTACCATCCTTAACCAACTTCACCAATTTTTCCTGATGAATTAATGATTCATCACTGTCAAATGCTAGACCAACATTAACGTCAACATCAGCCACACCGTTTGTAAAATCCCCATTTGGCACGTATCATAATATTGTATGCTTTGGGCCACCCAACACAAAAACTTCCTTAGGGAGTTACCCATCCTAGAATTACTCTCACTAGGCATGCTTACCTGCATAGTTGTTATGAGATCTACTTCCCTTACGGTTTTAAAATACATTGTGATGGGGAAGCTATTCATTCACATCCTTTATAAGGAATGCTTAATTATCCTTTCCGATCGATGTGAGATCAGATGCATGTAACTTTTGAATTAGGATGTTACAACCTTACCTTTATACCTTACACAACCCATTCTACAAGCTTGATGTAAGAACGAACCTAATTCAATATTATAGTTAATAAGCTACAAATTTGGTTACAACCAGCATCAGAAGACTCATTGCCAGTAGAACGATTTTCTGTTGGAACTCAATTAACATCACTTTCCAAAACATTATTACGAACAAATAGTTGTACTGTTTTAGGAGGTATATTACTAACAAAACTAATAAACTATTTGACATCACTTTCGTTAATAATATATGGATAATTATATTTGATCCAGAATATAGAAAACACACAAATTTGATTCGTATGTAACCAAGACTTCCAAGCAACCAATGTAATCAACCCAAAAAAGGTTGATATTAGTTGTTAAATCTATACTAAAACATGTGTAGTGTGGAACAATGTACTACATTGAACTATCGATACATCCTTATTGCCCTTCATTACAAACATGTACTTTAAAATATTGATTATACAAACTTATTTTTTCAATAACGCAAAGTTGTATGTGGTCTCGATGTACACGTTTTCTCAAATAGAAGCAACAAATGTGTATGTGGTCTAGATATGCAAGATAAATCCCAATATCTTATTCTTTTGACTCTAGAACAATACTCTATTGCTTAATAGAATGTACTTTTTAATTTGAAATATATGAGTGATAAACCTATCAACAACCATCAACTCTATAATAACCTTTATTATTCTGAAATATAACATTCTAGAGTTACACTCTGTTCCCGAGTTGTAGCAAAGAAAAGAAGAGAAGAGAAAAGAAAGTAAGGAGAAAAAAGAAGAGAAGAGAAAAGAAAAGAAATTTATCTTTTGTGTTTCCGAGTTGGAGAGAAATGAAAGAAAAGTTAAACATTTTGTTCTTTCTTTTCAAATCCTTCCAAATCGAAAGGAAAGTTAGGAGGGAAAGTGATCCCTCAATTTCCTTCCACTTCTCCCCTTTAATGAAACTCGGGAACACCAATTTCTCTTACTTTTCTCTCACTTCCACCCATTTTTTTTTTCTCACTTCCATCCATTTCCTTTCATTTACAAATTAAAAAAGTAATTATTTTTTATCAATAAACGGTTAATTTTGTTAATTTCCATAATTTTAAAGTTTTTAGTACTTTGTTCTTTGTCTTTGACTCCGAATGAATGTTGCTTTTTTTAAGTTTTTGATAATTTGGTAGAGCATTAACTCTTTTGACACATCCTTTGAACGATCCCTTTCTTGTCCTACTCCACCATGTTGTCTAGGCTTTCATTAATTAAATTTCATTTCAGGAGTCTCGGTAGATCTTTATACATATATACTCAAATCACACAGAACTTTTAATTGAAAAGTTTACATGACCCGCAATTAAAGTATTGTTATTAATTATTATCAAATCGGTTTTTCTTGAAAGTTGTAAAATATAATTACATGATGAATAATATTATTTTATTCAAAGATATAATGACAAAAAACATAAAGACGTCTTTTTAACTAAACAAAGATTAAGTTTCACAATATAAAAAAAAAAAAAAACTACAAGAAAAAAGAAAAACCCTAATGTCGAACGAATATAAAACCAACGTAGTACATGGAATAACATTAGAGAGCATCTAATGTCATTTTCAATATCGCATCAACCGAACTTCAGTGGAAGCAGAGAGTTCTAGTTGTACAAAGAACCCACATTCTCCTCTCCATCATCCATTCCAAGCTTCAATCTTCCATGGATGCACCTCCTCCTGAAGAACACAACACACCACCCCTAAAATATAAGGTATCTGCGTTTCTGCTTCAATATATCTATCAACCATTTTGTTTTCTATTTCTGCTAATCTGTGCTTTATGTATCTGACATACGCTTCATGCGCGTTTTTTTGCAGACATGGTTTCTTAAAGTCTCCATCCACTGTGTTGGCTGTAAGCGAAAGGTCAAGAGAGTCCTTCAAAGCATTGAAGGTAGTTAATCTACACGCAGATGCTGTTATGAATACACTCATAAGTTGAAAACACTCGCTTTCTTTGGTTTGCTTCACCCCTTTGGTGTTCTGATTAAGAAAACACTAGTTTTGCAGGTGTTTATACTATTGATATTGATTCAAAGCAACAGAAAGTTACAGTTGTAGGCAACGTTGAGGTGGATACCCTTATCAAGAAGCTTGTCAAGACTGGAAAGCATGCAGAGAAGTGGCCGGAAAACCCCAACAAAAAGGAGAAGACGGCTGCCGGCGGCGAGAGCAAGAATGAGAAAGAGAAAGGGTCTGAAAGCAGTGGAAACAGTAGCGATGAAGAAGAGCATAATCCTCCACCTGAGAATGGGAATCCCCCAAGCAAAAACGGAGGTATGTCGGTGAGGTTCGCTGATGTACCGGAGAACATCTCGGCGCAGGCGAGTCAGGAAACGGGAGGTGGTGGTCAGGTTGGTGGCGGTGGCGGAGGAGGAGGAGGGGGGCAAGGTGGTAAAAAGAAGAAGAAGAAAAAGAAGAAAAAGAGTTCGAGTGCAAAGCCTTCCGGTGGACCACCGGACACTGGATTGGTAGCTCCAGAGATGGGTAAGAATCAAGTGATTGACCAACTGCATCTCAGCCCTCCACGTGGCTACTCGTATCCGATGCCTGCTGGTCCAGCTTACGCTGTAAGTTACAGTGAGACGCACCCCAGTGGAAATGGTGGTCCTGCGTACTATATTCCTCCGACACCCTACACGTATGACTACACAGAGGATAGTGATGATTTTGTTACATTACCTCGTCCGTCCGATACTTTTGAGTTACTTAGTGATGAAAATCCCTATGGATGTTGTATCATGTAATTATTCAAGCGTTGTTCTTTAACTGAGTATTACGATGAAGGCATTTTAAAAGATTCTGTTCGTTAATTTCTAGAAATTGGGATGATCACAAAAATATCTCAAAAAATATTAGAAACAGAAGGAAATATCCAACTTTTATTTATTTATCGAAATGATCTTTATTTTTGAGACGAGGCCTTTCGGATATTATTGATAAGGCCCACTATTGTATTGTAGTCGGGTCTTGTCATTTTTATATACCATATTTTCACATAATGATATTAAAAATAGTTAGTATACATATAATATGATAGACCCGAATTCCACAGTGGATAAAAAATGTAAAATACAATTACCCCACATATAATGTACACTAATATGCTCTTGGAGTTTTGGAGAAAAACAAACACATTAAACTGGAACGAAATAAATCCAATAAAGAGGATGGGAGGCCTTTCATATAGATGTTGACGTATGGTATATGGATGGAATGTAAAGTACATGCCGACTTTATCATGACTCGTGAGCAAAGTGGATATTGAGCTTACTGTGTTTTGTTAGCTGGTGTTGGACGGGGTAATGAAGCTCGCAAAGCAAATTCATTGCATGAAATGAGAGACCGTATGTTTGCGTTTGCACGACTAAGACACAAGGTTGTTACTTAGGAAAACACTGTACACAATGTAAAGATGCATTGCATGAAATCCACTCTAATATGTGCTGAAGTATGTCATAGGGATGGTTGAAATGGACGCTTAATTACAATTGAAATCAATGATCAAGTTTCCTATAGACATAGCACAAAATGATATTCAATGTGTGAAAATGTTGTTCACATGGATCGTCATAGACTCATATATGTTGAACTACAAAAGTAAGATCGGGACGGGTGAACATCACATACTGTAATACCCATGCAAGGCTAAGGTACAAAGCGGGATCAAAGACAAGGTTTCCTACAACCCTAAATTTGGAGTTGATATTAACTGCAATCATGTAAGTCAATAGGTTTGCTAGTTTCATATCTAGGTGATATATTTCTTTTGTGATAGAAGCATGCCTTTCGGGTGACCAAGTACCCACAATGTTAAGGAAAATTTTAGAGCAACCAAATTAGTTACTGAAAACTTGCAACTCAAAAAATGATATGATCCAACATATAAGGTTTGTAGTAAAAAGGTCTTGACTCTTGAGGATGATACAATCTAACTATATAAGTAATGTAACACCTCTAATTTGGAGCTATAAGTTTTAACACTTAAGTGAACTTTTTTGCACTGTGGCCGTATGCCCAACATAGCTAAAGTTACGCCCATCGTAACACCCTAAAACGCGACTTCATTCATCATAGTACGCCCAACGTACTAGCTAGTGTACACCCAATATGCAGACTCATTTTTTCAGATTAACTTCAAACAATCATAACTTATTCATTTCAACTCCGTTTTCGATGATCTTTATATCCACGGAAAGGTGCCTATGAGCTCTACAATTCTATATTGATAATTATAACTAAAAACATCTCAAACTAAAATCCTTAATTTACGCAAGAACCCCGAAACAAAACTTTTCCCATTTTATTCCTCAGCTTCCATCGAACGACCGAAGGTTTAAATCACTTGTATAACATCATACACCTCTAGTAGAGTCTAAACTTCAATCAACTGAATCCCAAGGCCTCCATTTAATACATTTATTGACCATAATCCTGAAATAATACGTAATGCCCGCAGATCCGGGCTAGTCAATCTATAGATAATAAGCATTGAAAATAACTTTTTGATAAAATATTATTTATAATAAATAATCTTAACCAAAGTATAGTATATGTCACAAGCATTTCGTACATATAAAGAACGCTGAAATCTGACTTACAACGAGGATGTTATGACCTGTCGAAGTTTTGTGAAAAAACCGGCACAACGTCACGTAACGTAAAAAGTGAATTTTTAACCTTAGAGATCTAAAGGAAATTCGTAGTGTACATTAAACCATGTACATACATAAAAAGAACGTCCAAATCTGACTTCATATGAAGAAGTTATGTTTTTTCTAAGATTTGACATAGTAGTGTGCAACCTAGAATTTGAATTTTAGATCGATCAATTTTTAGCTGAGACAATCTAAAATTGAATCAAAGATCTCGTTAACAGGAGCTCAACGATATAAACACATACGAAAACGGACGTTGGATGACACAATTATGAAATTTTAACGAACTTTATATGTCTAAGCCTATTAAAATATAACATTAGAAAAAATAAAATCAAAGTTAGCCGACAGAGACTAAATGAAAGTTGTAGATCACGTCACTACCTATGCGTGGATATAAAGAATATAGAAATCGAAACTCGTATGCGAAAGTAACGAAATTTTGAAGTTAATTAAATTATGGGAGGATGCAAGGCCGACACGTGGCACAATCCTGACCCTCCCTTTCTCCCCACGACTTCGCATGCGAGGATGATACCTAGCCCTGGTATGTGCAGCGTAGCGCCTTGTATGCGCAGCATACCGAGTACGTGCAGCGTACTCCGAAGCTACGGCCAACATAGATTGAGGATACAACCAATAAATCGATGCGAGGATACCCTGATTTCTTCACACCTTTCCCATTCTTTCTCTCTCAAATCCTCCTCTTAACCCCTCCCACTTCCTCTCACTTACTAAGTATTAGAGGCAAGTATGGAAATTCCAGGAGGCTCCAAGAAGAAGAGCTTTCAGCTCATAAGTTTTTCCCCCGCAGAGCTCGACACCAAGCTAAACCCCCTTGTAAGTGAGTGGTGCTTACCCTACTTTAAGTATAACTTATGTTTAAGTTCATTATCGTTATTATGAACCTATAAACAATATATGTGTTAAGTATTATAAATTATACAAAGTGTTATTATAATACCTTTTAAATGCTTGCGGTACGGAGAATCTGGTTTGAAAGGCCGCATATGGTTGTTAAATTGCAGAATAGCTTAAATGTCAAAATGGTCCTGCCCTCCGGTGTTTCTGTTGGGTTATGAGCATTCGAACACTCCTAAGTGTACATGCAACCCTAAATACCTTGGATCTATGTTTTCTCTATTATACATGCAATTATGAACATCCAAGGTACTATCCTAATCTAGCATACAAAATAATGAATATAACAAGATAGAATACATACCTCTTTGATGTAGAATGTCTTTATGAAGCTTGAGTGCCTAGTGCCTCAAGTGTGACACCTCAAATGGTTCACACTACACCAAATACACTTGGAATAAATTGAGAGAAACTTGAACACTCCTAAAATCGGCTAGCCCTTTCTTATTATTCATAGTGGCCGATTTTTCCCAAAGAATATGATCTTATATAGTTGTTACAATTAGGGTAAACCCTAATTATCATGAACTTCCATTTCCTTGGATCCATGGGTTCAAATATACCATGGAGCATCCATGGACCATCCTATGGGTTTTAGCCCAACTTGATTATCCATGGAGCATTAGCCTACTATACAAGTATGGATGATTTACACAATCTACCCATATATTTAATTAGTCTTCTTTTGATCACTTAATTAATTCTAGATTAATTCTTGATCAATACTAATTAAATAATCCTATTAATATATTAGAACTTATAATATATTAATCAACCTTATGTGTTATTTCTCTCATTATAGTCTATCCAAGTGCATGATGTCATGCAACCCAAATGGACCATGCCGGGTCGGGTCAAGTATTACCAATTATATTTATGGACTTAGACATCAATCCAATAGTCTCCCACTTGGATAAGTCTAAAACTATTATTGCTAATGACTTCAAGAACCGAACGGCAATCGTAGCTCTCAAAAGCTTCTTTCGAACTTTGACCTTGCCGATGATCTCTGACCTTTGTTAATGACTTGTCCATTAGATAAGTGATCATACATTCCTCCATTCTAGATATCATATGGGCTGAGACATGGATTGTAAATCATTCTCTTTGTCTATCTGTTGTTTCCCGATTTCCGATTCATGATGACTGACTGATTGAACAAATCAAATCAGTCCTGGCTTGGCCAAGCACTCACATGTGTCATCATTAAATCATCGAGGGGCCCATAGATATCGCTTTTATCCCGAAGCTAAAAGGAATGGATAAACTTCGACTCTTATGACTTGTTTTGCTATTTGTTGAATCATACACAAAGGCACATTTTATAACATCGAGTTACCAATGCGTTTTCGTGCAATCAATGTACAACCAACTCATAGTAACAACTCATATCTCTAGGTTTGAAGAATATAAGATATTATCGTCTCATGATCACTCGTGATAAAAATCCATAAAGTGATTCCAATGAGCAGGGGTTGAATCCAATACTCAGAACTTATGAGCACTCATGAGTGTTGTAGCCCTTTGTCCAACATCTTAAACCTCTACAAGCCAACGCATGACAGTCTTAATTCATATCTACTTCCAACATATGACCGACTGTGGATGGTTTGAATAACATAGTCATCCAGAACAATGACCTAGTTATTTTGGAAATTAAAACATGCAAAGTGAAACACAATAATAATTGAATCCAATATGGTATAAAAATCTATGAACATAAATACAACACCTTTTATTTATCACCATATGATTACACATTATTCATTGTATACTGTTTCAGCTATCAACTTTATTCTTGAATTTAAAACAATAGTTGTCCCATGCTCCAAGCATGTACACTATGTTTTCTAAACACTAGTCATGCCATACACCAAGTATGCATACTATGTTTGTCTATGATCTTTACTTCGTGAAATAGATCAATTGAACATAACTCCAATGATCCTTTCTTCACAATCCCAAATCTTTATTGGAAATGCAAGAATTCCAAATTCATGCCAATTACTGAAATTTGTTAGACTCTAAACTTATATGCATTGATCCTCTTGTAATGATTATGCACAAAGTCAGAAAGACTTGACAACAAACGTTACAGAGCATTCCAAACGAGACCAACTCCTTGGAAACATCCTTCTTGCATTAAGTTTCCTAATCTTACACAGATT